CTTTACCCGGTTGTCGTCGTCGTCGTCGCTGTTATTGTTGTTGTTGTTTTCTTTTCGCCGCCACGACCGCTATACGGCGTACATCTTAAAATCTTTCGTTCTCGGTTTCATCGTTGTGTAGCAATGTATTTATAATTATTGTAAACCACGAACCTGGCCATGGTGTACAATGTTCAAACGTCAAAACTCGGTTCCTAAAAAGCTCGTTTGTGGCGAATCTCGGGTGATTTCGGGAACGGGCTTGTTAATATTCGCGAATCGAAAGAGGGATACTTTTGGTGCATCGAATTTCGAAATTCCAGCGTTAAATTTAACATCAAAATAATTGACAAAAATAAAAAAATTAATAATAATATTAATGATTTGGAGAAAACAATACGAGAATTTAGTAACGATAAACCTTTCTATTACTGTATAACAGTTTTGTTGTATTATTATTTTTTTTTTTTTTTCGAAATGTCGACAAAAATTGCCCGGACAAAATAATTTTAACGCAAAAGAAAAATCATTGATAAAGAAACAAGATGTATATTTAAATTTACCTGATGAAATATTTATTTTTCAGTTCAGTTAACCAATTACCTATAATACCTAAAATACCTATAGTCTTGAAAAATTCATAGCCACTTATATAATATTGTGTGCGTGTTTATGTAAGGGTATGAGTATCAAAATACTGTTCGGAATCCACGATTTCTTATCAGTAATATGGTAAAACTTATGACATATTATAATAAATGCTAGAAAATTGAATTTAAGGTAAATCGCAAGTTAAAGGTAAAAAAGACGTTCTAGGATAATGGGGATGAGTGCAGCCACTGTTATAGGTAATTTAATGTATACCACAACGATAAACCATTACTAACGAAAAACCGATTCTGAGCGGAATTCAGTTGATAGTGTTGCTTTTTCGACAATATGTATGTCATATTGTGGTAAAATAATTAAATAGGCATTATACAATTTCTTTATTAATATCTGTTTAATGAATCGATTTTCCCGTTTTCCCAGTTTTTCACATTTTCTTGGAAAAGTCTTAGGAAAATTGAAAAACGACCTCCTTAAAGTACCTCTCTACACCGATTTCCTTTCAAAAAAGGTGCTACACTTAAAAAATCAGAGCAAGATCTCTGGTAGAAAAATTGTCCCTGGAAAAATAAAAAATAATAAACATCTTTGTAAAACCATAAACTTCTTGTCTTCATCGCCCCACTCAGAATCTGAAAACTTTGAGCCTGCAGTAGAAATCATACAGTAATATTATTTATGATGCATAGAAATATTCGATATAAGCTGACTGAAAAAAAAATACAAACAAACTTCTCCGATACCCTATGTTTATCACCTAGGTACTTTGATAAAATGTTTATTATATTTTCAATATCTGAAAACAATTCACACGCTATAAAAGTATTTTAAATTCAACTTAATTAATTGTCGTTAGATAAATAATAAATAGTCCTGAAAAAATCCGCCAAGAAATGTCTTTCAACAAAATGGTGGATAATGAAGTGACGAAACCATTGTCGTCGGTCCGTAACCGCATTAAACAATTTGAAGCCCTTGGACGTCACACCAAACCATGTTCTCATGATGCTTTGGCCGAGTCAAAAAGAAATAAATTTGGAGAAGGCGATTGTTCGAGTTTTGGTGTTAAATCTAAAGGAATTAAGAAACAAAACGGAAGAGAAACTAATGATTTTCATTGTACCAATACTGGTATGACGACGAAACCCGTAATAGGAGATACTGTTATGATTCCAGTTTATGAGCGTGGTAACCGGTATCCGTTAAAATCCATAGACGCTGTAAACAACGGTCCGAAAAACACGATTCCTCCTAATGCATCAAGAAGCGCGGCTAACGATGTTTCTTGCGAAACAAACAAAAACAGTTTAATCTACTGCCGGCCATCCGCAAACCGTCTGTCCACGGGATGCGAAGAAATGAATTTTCAGAACGGTAAAGAAATTACCAAACTTCGTCGTGTTCGTCTACCTACGACGGGATTCGTGATGAGGCGGTTGGTGAAAGATTTAGAATCTCTTCCCTAATAGTTAATACTGTTATAACAGGTACATTTTGTTGGTCACAATGCAACGACCCTACTGAATATTTCGTTTCTATATTTTGATTTTATTAAGTTATTGAAGCTATATACGCTTAATAATACGCAAAAATAATGTTGTACCATAATTCTGAAAATCTTCTAAAATGAAATTATTATATGATGGCATTTTCTCCTTAAAATCTTTGGTAATCCTATCTCGTAATTTCTCGTTATTCAATTGTTCGGCCTTGAGGTATTTTTCCAGCGATACTTTGTCGACAATTTCATTTTCGTAACTGTTCAATATCAGAGACATTCTTTTGCTTTATGCTTCAATAAAATTATTTCTATCATTTATTCTATATCTTACTCCATTGTTATTATGGTTTTTACCGTTATCATTTATTTTACTTTTATAGTTTTCTTTTTTATCAAATTTACTTTTTACTTATCCCTTATGATCATATTCACTTGTTAAGTAGTTGACATTTCCTTCAGTTCCAATTTAGTTGCTTCTGCAGTCTTGTATATTTCTTCCGCCTTGTCCATTGTCAAATCACTGTTTGTCAACAATTTGTCCTTGAGCACCGCGTTCCAAATTTCATTG